TGATAACACATACTGTGTGTTCTAATGATTGACTGAATTTTAGTTCTAATCGCAAATTACTGTGCTTTATTAAATTTAAATGTTCTCCTGAACATAAATCCGGTGAAAGATTAAATCCGAATAATGTATTAGAGTTCTTATATTCTTCTCTGGAAATAAATATTCCTCTGTCTTGACCCATTCGATCTGTTCCAACAAAAAGAGTTTGATAGGCACGTATATATTGATTTTGAGAAAAATCAAGTTCCAAAGGATTGTGTGGTACGGGTTGTCCGTCTACATACACTCCGATAAAATTTAAATTAAAATGTTTAAATTCGTAGGGAGATTTTGCAAATGTTCCATGAAAAGCGTCATTTTCTACACATCCTACAATAATTTTTTTTGGCATTTGTCCTGAAAATATGTTATCTTGAATGAAAGACATGCTTCCTTTGGGAATCGAATACACTTTGCAAAGAACTCTATTAATAGGATATTTTGCACTTGTTTTCTCCAGTGCTTTAGCATGACCAAGAATAACTCCGGGGTTAACACGAACTTTTCGTATGAATAAGGAAACATGATCCAACACAACTTTAAAACCTTCAGATCCATGTAAACAAAATTCAGGCTTGCTTCGTATTAATTTTATTTTCAAATCTACTAAATTTAGTAAAAGACGATCTTGATAGAATAAATCTGAATGTATACAGCCAATCATTTCTACGGCAGCACTATCTTTAAAAAATTCAGTTCTTTTCTTGAGTCCATCTTCATTATCTTTGTAAAATAATTCCGCTGTTAATTGAGAAGTTTTGCTATCATATCCATGGTTTAAGAGAGTCTCAATATACGCTCGATAAGGGTAGGTATTATTTGAATTAGAAACTACGCGATCATTTAAGGATACATCTACTTGAGAAAATAAAGAATGTAGAAATAAATTCACAGGACCTATAGTATCATCTTTAGTGATAGCTGAATTGTTCGCTTTTACTATTTTCGCTTTCACATATAGTTGTGTTTGACTGAGATCTATATAGTCTTCCCCACTTCCAGAAATGTTAAACTCTACAGGTGCGTTATCGAAAACGTTAGAAAGTGGATGAAATTGTATCCACTGCCCATCTTGAATAACTGTTTGAGTTCCGGGTAAATTAAAAAGTTCCAATTCAGATTTCACGCATTCGGGGGAATCTTTCAAAAGAAATGTCATTTTTACGGATCGAATATATCGCGTCAACTCACTTTACGTGCTTTAGATGAAATGAATGTTTTCTTTTTCTTACGCTTTCTTTTATATCGTCCTTTTCCTACCATAGACTGTACTTTATCGATAGCTTTTTGGGTTAAATTTTTCCCACTTTCTTTACTTCTTGTTTTTAGTGCTTCTTTAAAATTTTCTCCTTATAATACATCAGAGGCAACCCGACTACCTGTTTTTAATACTTCTTTTCCAATAGTTTTACCACCTTTTACTAAAAAAGGTAATGCTGCTCTAAATAATCGACGAAATATTCCTCCTATTCCATATCCCTTTTGAAAACTAATACCTTTATAATGAGCCAAACCTGAGCCGATTTGACCCACATAATGGTCTTCAAACTTTTTAGTACAACAAACATACGGTGTACTCATCTTGACAGTTTGATCTTCAAATGAGGATAAAATAAATGCGTTATACTATTTATAGTATTTGCCTCATACGAAAATGTAGCACTATGATCACTTTACCTCTTTCAAAGGGAACTAAATCTCCTGAATTGAGTCTTAGCTCAACTTGAATTGTTTGAAATGAATGCCTCGTTAACGGTAAGTATTGTGGTCTATCGTAATACTGACTAATCGTTTCCCCGTCTTCTCCTTTGATTCGAACGATTCGTAATAAAGGGGCTTGTATATCGCCTACAATTTGTGATGAAATTAAATCTGAGTAGACGTAAAAAACGGAAAAGTTCGACAATGCATCTGCAGCAAATTCACTTTTCATGTTACCCGTTATAATTGTATCACGTTGGAATCCTAGCAATTCACCTAACTTCTCTAAATGAAGACTGCTACCCTCAACTGCGTTAATTTTTACTCGTTTCGTAGCTTTATTATAATTTAATGTAAACCGACTAGGATTTTTTGGTAAAGAAAGTTGTATAGCTGATACAATATCGAACATTGATTCATAACAACCCACATCAATTGTTTTCTTAACAGTCGATGTTATATTGCCATTACTAATTTTATATAGAAAATAATTATTAGTTTCATTAACGTTATACCACGAATGAGGATAGATTATTTCAGACAGTCCTACTTCCCATTGTCCATTTAAATCTACCGGAACAGGTAATTGAGCCTTAAAATGAGATAATTTGTTTTCAGGAAAGAATCGCATAGAGCTATCAGAAGGTAATGTTACGTAGAAAGACATTTTTGAAAATGAATCTATAATAAACAAGTTCTACTATTTATACTTTTTGAATATCAGTTACCCAAGCATTAAATTTTTCGGGATAACCCATAAATTTAACAAAATATTCAGTTACTCGTCGCCTTTTTCTTGTTTGAAGCACTTTTTCTACAGGATAGAATCCAGAATCTATCACCTTTTGTAGTTCTGCTTCGTAGAAAGTACCTTTTATCTCCTCACCCCCCAAATCTTTTAATTTATAAACAACTGGAATTCTTTGCATGATTTCATAAATTTTAAAAAGCTCAACACTCCAATTTTGTTCATATCCCTTTTCAAAGTGAAATTTTTTCTTACTAATGCGTACAAGATCACCAATTTTGAATTTAGCTATATGATGTTTTTTATTTGTCTGGGTGCCATATAAATTATGTAATACCTGTTTTCTTTTTTGTTTATCTACGGAAGCAGGATCCATTTTAATTGATCGATGATAGGAATGATTATAACTATGAATTAATTTATCTATAACGTCAATGTAATTCTTAGTATTAAATTCTGTGAAGTATTTCCACATTTTACTTTTTAGTGTGCGATTAAATCTTTCAATCACGCTAGCCTTAGTTTCATTATTTGTCGAAAAGTATTTGATATTCTCACTTTTTAAATAATTTTGAACAATTTTATTCGTAAATTCCGTACCAGCATCTGTTTGTAACACTTTAGGTTTTCTTTCTTTAAATATAAATTCTAGAGCAGACTTAACATTTTTTCCAGACTTATCTTTTAAGGGTATTGCCCACGCAAATTTTGAAAATATGTCAATACAGGTTAATAAGTACTTGTAACCTTTATTAAACCCTGATAAGGATTGCATATCAGCCAAATCTGCCTGAAATTGTTTATCAATATCGTTTACAAACACACGATTTTTTTTGAATTTATGCTTAACCGGCTTGTGAAGTGTATAAGAATCTTTTTGAGTTAACCATTTTTTTATATCTTTTCTACTATATTTTCCTTTTAAAGCACGATGTAAAGCTTCCGGACCACCAAAGCTACTTGGAACCTCGGGATTTCGGTAAAACTTAGCTAAATTTTGATTCATCTTTACTATGGAACAGAACTTATCTGAATGACTGTCTAATTTCAATCCCCTGCTATTTATGCTTAATTTTTAAAGTAAAATCGTAAACTGCTTCTGTTTTCAAACATGATATACAATATATAAGAACTTAAGTGATTTAAAAAAAAATCAAATAAAACAGAAATATTTAAAAAAAATTTGTGTAAATTTAAGTACTATTATTTCTATAATTAAACAAACATAAGTATATACAAAACTATTTATTTAAGACTTGTATAAGTGTAATACAATATTGTTTTTTTTAACATTCATCATCATAAAATTCAAAAGTGTCTTCGGGGCACATGAAATTTCTCGCTTCTCTAACAGCTAAATCTAAACGTAGATTTTTAAAAAAATCAGTAGTTACATAGTATATAGGTTTCATTAACAAAAAGTTTTGATTTTCCCATAAGTTGGAATAGAAACTCTCAGCAATTTCCATTTCCTCAAGCGAAAATACGTAAGAATTAAATGTCGCGTCACTATTCGCCCATAACTCCTCGGCCATCATTTTTGGTTCTTTTAAACCTTTTCCAACAAGAAGGTTACAAATTGAATTTTTCAACTCTGTTTTTAAATGTGCTTGACCGAGGCTATTGTCTGAAGAAGGAGGTAATTCCTTTTCTATTGGACCTTCATGATAGTTTTTAAATGCATCTAAAAGATTCATGCATCGAAATACATGATCTAATACACTGGCTGCTATATCATTATAACATTTAAGCATTTCATCCCACTGAGCACGAGATATTGAAATTTCTTTAAAAAACACTTTTTTATCAAGTCCATATTCAATACGCTTAAAACAAAAATCATTAAAATTCTCACTTGTAATTTGAATTTGATTTTCTGGCGGTAGCAGTCCATGTGGTAATTCTTGCTTCGAGTCTGGAACCTTTTTTATTCCCATTATGTACTCAATCCACCATGGACGTAGGGTGATTCCATTTTTTGTCGGGTAGTAGAATTTTCCATGTTTCTTGTACTGTCTAATATGAACTGTAGCATTGCCTTGAAAAGTAGTTGCAATCACAAAAAAATCGTTTCCTATTGGAAATACTCCTTCTGGAACATGATCCTCAGAAAACTTTCCATTGCTCTAAAGAAAATACAATAAAATGTAATTAGTTTACAAAATTAACATTAAAATGTAGTCAACCATACGTAAAAAAAAATATACTGAATATTGTTACTACTTACATTTGAAACTCCATCAGTTCTTGGCTTTTTGCTAATAATATGTGTAGATGAATCTTGGTTTAATTTTCTTTTTTCCATACTTAAATAAATTCAAACAGGATGGCTAAGTAAAATACTTTAAAATCTTAAATATCGATAAGCACGCTTTTACACTCCACGAGTAAGTACAGATACAACTTTTAACTTAAACTAAATTCCTTATCAATCAAGTTCCGTTGCCAACAAAATAAACTGAAGAAGTAAACAACCAATCATAAAATTCCAATTATTTTACTAAAGTAAACACTAAAATAGAAAGGAAGTGAAGACATGTATCGTACGTCATACGCTTAACAAGTAATGACTGTTTTTGTAAGAGCCTGCAGGATAAAACAAGATAATACTTGATCAGATAACGTCATCTTACAAAGGCGAAGCGTTGCCATTCAAAAAATAAAAATAAAGATGTTGCCACAAAATTAATTAAAAAATTCACGAGTTTAAACTATTTTAATTTAATATTTATGTGTTGCCATTTTAAAAAATGAGAAAAAAAGAAACTAAGAATTTATCCATAACCGTCTGCGAATTTACACGTCAAACTTTAACATGTGCATGATCAATGCCGTTGCCACCCAGAGAAAATTATAATATCATCGATACGGGTAGAAATAGTCATTTAATAACTGTCAATGATTAAGTGAAAAACATATCGATTAAACTAAAAGGTGGTATCGTAATCGACCCCTTTTCATTCATACACGTGTTCAATATACAAAGGTTTAACTTATTTACACATATCTGACCAAGCAATCGTAGGTCAGTGGTTATGATATCCAACTACTGACCCACGAGTGCTTTTAGATTGGCATGAGTTCGATCCTCAGTCTGAATTATAATTTAATAAATAATAAAACATAATTAAATATTAAAATAGATTTAAAATTAATTTATTTCTACATAGATGGCGTCACCAGTATCAAACATCTATAATGTGAAAAATAAATAATTGTTTTAATCACTAGATGGAGCCACTAGTATGAAATGAATTTGTTTGGAAACCGAAACTGCTCCGCCTGCTTATTTTCTAAGTCGATTGAGTGTTGCCATCTTTTAATAACAAATCTAAATTAATGAGTGTTGCCAACGTTGAGAAATAATAATGAAATCAAAACTAAAACTAAAATAAGAAATTCAAGCGGGCAGAAATAAGCAAGCGGGCAGAAATAAGAAATTATCAAGTGTTGCCACCGGAAGTTAAAAATTTTGGAAACCGAAGCCAAAACTAAACAAGGTGTTGCCACCGGAAGTTCGAAATTTTGGAAACCGAAACCAAAACTAAATCAGGAGGTGAACAACTCAACTCAACTCAGCAGCAGGAGGGAAACAACTCAACTCAACTCGACCTCCGCCTGAGCCGCCTGCTCCGCCTGTGTGCTGGAATCGGCTTTTTTATACTGCTTCCGAAATTCTGAAGATATACTAATAAAGCTTACTCAAGCAAAATTCTTTGAAAGTGAGATACGAGCTCTCCAATCTAGTTTGCCTATTCCAGCTTCTTCTACTATTTTCAATTTAGCTCCTTATCTTGATGAAAAAGGTATCCTGAGAATCACAGGAAGATTGGACGAAGGAGATTATTCTTTTGATGAGAAAAAGCCTATAATCATACCAAGACAGTCTAAATTTGCAGAGTTGCTTGTCAAGCGAGAACACGAAAATGTATTTCATTCTGGAGTAGAGAGCACTCTAGTACAAATTCGGAGAAGATTTTGGGTGCCTAAAGGAAGACAATTAGTAAAAAAGGTTGTCTCGAAATGTTTGATTTGTCGCAGATACACAGCCAAGCCTTCTACCCAAATGACTGGACAGCTTCCAAAAGATCGAATTAGTGAAACTCCTGCTTTTACCGTATGCGGAATTGATTTTGCCGGACCAATCTACATCAAGGGTGAAAATGGAATAAAGAAATCATATATAGCCTTGTTCACATGCGCAGTCACGAGAGCAATACATCTTGAATTAGTCTCAGACATGTCTACTTCAACTTTTCTGCTCGCATTCAGAAGATTTCTCTCTAGAAGAGGTGGTTGTCATACAATCTACTCCGACAACGCCAAGACTTTTAAATGTACCGATAAAGAGCTTCAGAGACTATTTGATATTTTGGAAAATTCAGAATTCAAAAACTGTCTTGCTGCTAAAAGAATATCCTGGAAATTCATCGTCCAACTTGCCCCTTGGTGGGGAGGATTTTATGAAAGATTGGTAAAAAGTGCCAAAGAGCCTCTAAAGAAAATACTTCGAAAAGCTCTTTTAAATTTTGAAGAGATGACCACTATATTGACTGAAATCGAAACCATCGTTAATCTTCGACCCTTGTCCTACGTCGCTAACGAAATTGGTGAACCGGAAATTCTTACCCCATCACAATTTTTAACCCCCGGTAAAGAAAAGGCAGAAGAATATCCAGCCCATTTCATAGAAACCATCCATAGAGAATCCACCAGAAATATTCTTATAAAAAGAAAAGAATACCAGGCTACATTATTGGCTAATTTATGGAAGTGCTGGGAGGAGCGCTATTTGTTTAAATTGAGATCTGTACACAACTTTACTTCTTCTAACTTAACAAGATGTTTGAAAGTGAGAGATGTGGTTATGATGGAGGGCACCACAAAATCAAAACTATTATGGGACATAGGTATTATAACAAAAGTATTTCAAGGGCGTGATGGACTTGTAAGATCTTGCCTTATTCGCAAATCCAACGGCGAATATAAACGCCCAATACAACTTATTTATCCTTTAGAACTCAATGACTGAAATGAACAATGATAAACTTCAATAGTTTATGTTTTTTATTTTTATTTTCTTTCAAGTGAATATTTGCATCTCATTTCAAATTTATTTGCATTTAAATGTTATTTTTTTAAATATGTTTATGTTATTTTTGTCTAATTTTTATGTTTAAAATTTTAGTGAACTCAGAGGAGTTCAAGTGGGGAGTGTTGAGGATTTATAATACCAGATGGCGCTGAGCGCAAACAATTTTTTTATTATTTTTTCTTCACTTCTTAAGTTTCAGTTTAGATTTACCCACTGAACCACAATGGAATAAAATCATCTTAAACATTACAATTTGTGTAATTATTGTTTAATTCGAGTTACCCAGTCAATGACTTTGAGTTGGGTGCAAGTTGAGAGCGATAAGGAATGATTTAAATTAATCGGAAAAAAGCAAAACAATGAATCTTAGAAGTAATACATTTCAGAAACCCCTTAACTAAAATAGCGCATTAATTTAAATAGAGCATTAATTAAAATTTCTCAAGTTTCGAAGATTAAAAAAAATAAATAAGTAAAAAAAATTCTGAATGTGTTTGAAAGGAATACACGCATGTCATGAAATTTTTAGTAGAAACTAAAAGGGAATATCTAATTTTGATGAATTCAACGTGTATAAAAAACAGTCTTCAATAATAGATTTTCTCGGAAGGGATCAATTAATATTTTAGTACCTACATTATAGTTTTTACTAATATTGATTTATTTTTATGTAATTTTAAATGACATTTATATTTTATGATACTAACGCATACAGTTTTAATTAGAATTGTTTATTGATCATAAAACTGAGCTTATTTAATCAAAATGCTATACTATGCATTAAATACCATTAAAAAGTAAAAATTCGTAAAAATTCAGAATTTTGGATTGAA